ACATCTTGCAGCTTGTAAAACAGAACCACACATTATCACACCTGTTTCTATACATTCCAAACCAAATTTCCCCCCACAGTCGATTTTAATGCGCCGACATAAGACCAGAAAAATTTATTACCCCCAAAAACAATCCTTTATATTTCAAACCATCTCAAACTTGAATTCCCATTTTCATATCACTTACAACTTGTTTTCGACAATATTTTCTGAGATGGCAAATTTTAGTTACACCGTGTTTGGTCAATATTTTATTTAGGTGTCCCAAATTAATTTTGTTGAATCAAAGTATTTTATTTCTTCGGAATTAAATTTACTGAGCTGAAAACATTTGTCAAAACCCGTAAATATTTTTAAAAATATAATTCCAAGGTAAACAATATTTTTTCATAATAAAATATATTTTTATCAAAAAAAATCAATAAATAATATATAAGGCCCCATGTTTTGTAACGGGTTTTGGGTCGGTAAGTGGGATTTATTTTGTGTCATGCTTGTGTTTGAAATGGACCGAAACATATTTTTTGTTACAGAAATGGTGGGGAGTTAAGTTTTTCAAATTTTAATGCAATATTTGTTTACCAAATCAAATATTATTACCAATTTTTCACCACTGACAAGAGACCTTTTAAAATTGGCCTACCAACCCCCAACGCGTTACATATTGCGCCGCGTCAAACTCAAATCCCCATTGTCACACCAGTTTCCCCCTTTTCTGTAGCAGGTTGAACTTTATTTCGCAGCCAAAGACGTAACAGGAATTTTTTAAAGAATATTGGAAAAATGGTCTAACAATAGGAATTTCGGTCCGTCACAGTTAAAAATGTAAGATTTATGGGCCAAGTCACCTATTATTTTCAATTTCCAATCTCTGACAAAAAGACATTAAAGGTCACTTTGCAAACCAATAACCTGTAACATTTTTTCCCGCTCCATTCTAAAACGCTACGGTTCTGTAACGGATTGACTTTCATCATCGCAGTTAAATATTTATAGGTTGGGGGTTGATTTTTTTCCCCATTTTCGGTCATAGGAAACTGGTGATAATTGGTGATTTGGCACAAAACTTAAAAATTTTTCTAGTGACACATATAATCATTATTATGGTACCGATTCCAATCATTTTTGTGCAAAATCACACATTATTGCCAATTTTGAATTGCCGATACAAAACTAAAGAAAGTTACATTTCATACAAAAGTATGTTGCATTGTGCGCTGTGTAAAACAGAACCACCCACTGCCACACCGGTTTCCATTCACTCCAAACCAAGTTTCCCCCCACAGTCGATTTTAATGCGCCGACATAAGACCAGAAAAATTTACCACCTCAACATCAAATCTGCCACATCTCGCACCGTATCAAACATAAATCCCCATTATCATATTGTTTGCCATTCGTCTTCAACAATATTTTCTGAGATGAAAAATTTTAGTTACACTTTGTTTGGTCAATATTTTATTTATGTGTCCCAGGTTAATTTTCATTGAATTAAAGTATTTTATTTCTTCGGAATTAAATTTAACTAACTGAAAACATTTATTAAAACCCGTAAATATTTAAATATAATTCAAAGGTAAAAAATAGTTTTACATGATAAAATATATTTTCGGTAAAATAAAATAATATAATATATCAACCCCCATATTTTGTAACAGAAGTATAGCCTTAAATAAATATTAATCGGTTCAAATATTTGGGTATTGGTTTAATACTGAACAAAACGTAACGGGTATGCGCCGGTGAGGTGGCTTATGTGTGCGGTTGAAAATGGGATGTGGCAGGTATTCTGTTACAGAACAGAAACGAAACGGTGTGGTAATGGAAATTTATGTTTTACATTTTGGAAGATGCAACGGGTTGGGGGTTGGAAGGTGAATTTTTTTTGTCTTGCGTTGTTTATTGAAAATTAGCAATAATGGATGATATGGCAGATAAATGTTGCATTTTCCAATTTTTTACATGGATTCCCACCGTGATGTAAAAAATACATGTTAAATTTTGAGATATGACAATAGCAGCAGATCTGTTACGGGGGTGGGGGAAACCGGCATGAAAAGTTCAAAATTAACAGATTTTTGGTTGGTAAGATGACTTGTGTGATTGTTATGCTGGTATTGAAAAATGGGTTATAACAGGTGTTTTGTTACGTAAAATGGGGAAACCAGTGTGACAATGGTTTTCTCGGTGTGGCAAAGTGAAAAATGTAACATTTATTTATTTAATCATCCATTATTATGAATTTTTCATTAATGACACAAAATCAAAAAAAATACTTTATTCACTATATCATGTTACAATTTTGACCTTAACTAATATGAATAAAAATTATGATACCGATGCAAACCATTTTTGAGTTGGATAACACATTATTTCTTTTTATTATCATCAACCAACTCCTCTCTCCCACCCAATGTAACCTTACCGATTTCAACCTGTTAAATGCACTGTGTCAGACCGAAAATCATATTACTACACCATTTCACCTTTTTCTAATAACAAAATACCTGTTACACTATATTTTTTACCTATTATGTTCATCATTTGAACTGCAGATTCCATTTTTTTTAATGCTTTTTTAGATTTCACAAATATTGAATTTCACTTGATTAATTTTACTTTGTTTTCTTATGTGAGGGGTATAAAGTTTAATTATTTTGTTTGTTTAAATATATTTAGCTAATGTGTTGATTTTATATTCATTTATGGTTATTATCCTAGTGTTTGATAGGAATGTAAATTTAATTTATAATGTTATTATTTTCGTTGGTAATGTAGAATGTTTTATGAACAGAATCCTAAATTTCATTTTTAATTAGCATCAATGGATGAACTCATAGAAATGGCCATAGGGAACGATAGGAAAGTGGCTTGTAATTCAGATATTCTTTTAAATTATTCAATTTGTATTACTTCAATGTTTAGATTTATCTTTCCATTTCGTTTGTAATGGTGTAAGTTGTATATTAATAATTCTTCCATAGGGTTAGGGTTGGTTGGCCTTTCTTTTCCTCATGATGCAACATTAATCTTTTGCCCACCTAAAACATAGAAATAGATTCGAAATAGAATACAGAGCTTATACTTCTTTTCTATCTTCCATTTTAAACTAGGAGGGATCCATGGGTTACCCCCAACCCCCCTCTTTGACACCCTTTTGTCAAACTTCAGTCGACCTTGTAGCAACTCCCCCGACCCACCAAGTTGAACAGTTCAGTGGGATGGACGCCCGGTATTTTATGCAGCCGTCATTAATATGCAACATCCACTCCCCACCTGTTCTTTAACTGGATTGGGGGATAGGTATTGAGCCAGTTCCAATCGTATGCAACTATTATTTATATGCAACTATTTATGGTGTCCGATGGGGCGGATTGCGAAGCCCCAAACGTACTGTTGTCAAGAATAATTTTTCAAAAAAATGACATTTTAAAAACTTTATAATAAATGA